AAGAACGTTAATACATAGAAAACATATTGAAAAAGGTAGGATATTTAGATAAATATATCCATTAGCTTAGTATCAAATGTCATAGAAAAGTAAGTCATTACAAAAGCTTGGAAATTACTAGCATATAAGAGGTTTGTATTTAATCCAAGTAAATTTTAGTAAACAATTTTTTTATATTTCTTACATATTTGTGGTTTTTTTTTCCTTTTTTTTCTTTATATATATTCAATCTTGTATTGTAGACGTTAATAACAAAGTGGTATTTATAAACATTCTTTAATAAGTAAGTAATTATTGCATGTTTTGTTTAAAAATATGAAATAAAATAAAATAAAATAAAAATACCATTATATAAATCAACAATTTAGCTAGCTTAACTTAAATATATCATATATAAACTTTTTTGAGGCAAAAATAATTAAGTAAATAAAAACTACTTGTATTTACATCAAGATACAAAATAATGTTGTTCACAAGTTTTATAATTAATAATTTGTGGAATGTTGGGAACTTTTGTTCCTTTTAACTTTAGAGTTTTAGCTTAAATTCTAAAGTAGTATATATCCATATTTAATAAAATGCATAAAGATTAAATTTTTTATAAGATTGATCATACTTAAAGGATATTTTCATGGCTGAGACTATTAACACATCCTAAATTGCTACAAGCACATCTAATATTGCAATATGCACATTCAAAACACGTGGAGAGTTGTGATTGGTGGGGTGTTATAATATGGAACTTGCTACCTGACACAAGTGCAGGGATGAGGGAAGGTGGCAGCCTCCCTCTCAATTACAACCCTCCACATGTTTTAGCTGTGCATATAGCAACATTAGATGTACTTGTAGTAAGTTAGGATGTGCTTGTAACCTTTGCCTATTTTTATAAGTTTCAAATAATTACTTCTTATATAGCAATCAAATTATAAGTGATTGTATAAATTAATTAAGTTAAATCACTACACTCACAAACCATATCTAAGGATTTTAAAAGACACTTACAATTGTTCTTGTTATTAGGTGAATATTAATTTTTATTTTATATTAATATTATGAAAATATTTAAAAACTTGCAACTTTTTTATCTAAATATTTTACTTGCTATAGTATTAGCATTAGATAAATAAGTGACCTTAAAGAATCTATGATAAGAGTCACTTGCTCAACTTATTAAATAGTTTTTAACAATTCAATATACAAATATAAAATATAATAATAATAATAAATAACAATATATTTCAAATTAAATTTATAATAATAGATAAAATAATTACTAACTTTTAAAATATAAAAAATATTTATAAATTTTATAAAATAATAATTAAATATAATGTTACTAGAACTTTAAAAATAATATTTTCAAAATCCAAGTTACAAGCTTCTCTTTTCAACTTTAAATGAATTAAAAAAATCAATATTTTAATTACCACAACTAATTTGGTAAACTTAATAAAATAAAAAAACTTTAGAATTGATCTAAAAAAAAATTAAAACAATTTTCATTATCACAACGTTTTGGTATAATATATTTATACATATATATATATATATATATATATATGCAATCTTTCCAACTGCATATTATTTTTCCAATAATCATCATCACATCTTATCATCTTTGGTTTGGAATCCACAGCAGGATCTTAGAAACTGAAGAACTCTACTTTTCTCAATATAAAATCATGAAGTCAAATCATGAAATACACAAATCCACAAACTCAGACATTGACGACAAATGCTGTTCATCTACCTGAAACAAAGCGATCGATTGATCTAATATCTGTATACAAACACGAAACACACAGAGTCATTTATATATATATATATATATATATATCTGGATGGAGTTAATACACTATACAGTGAGTGTTGTTTTCATGCGATTATATGCATCGAAGCGTTTCGACGACACGAAATGAACGACACAACGTGCAGAGGAATCCAACGTTGTGCCATGAAAGGTGGGGATGTGATCGCGGCGGGGCGATTACAACCCACACAGCTCAATACCTAGTGAAGGAAGGGGCGGGAGAACGCCGCAGGCACGCAGGGGCGAAGCCTTTGAGATGAGCTCGCGCTGCACAGCTTTGAACCCCGCTTGACCAGCTGCTTTGAATGAATTGCATACACGCCTGGCTATGGACCCTGCAGCAGCGCCAGAAGAAGAAGACGACGCTGAGACTGGGGACCCACTCTCTCACTCTCTCACTCCTCCTCCTCCTCCTCTCTCACGGTGCTTGTGATGGATCGAAACATGACCGTAGCGACACTGGATCGTGGTCAGATCCCCTTGTCTGCCCCTTCGTACCCCCACCGGCTTTTGCGTCTTGTTGTAGACTGGTACAGTCTGAATCACCATAAATGGGGATACTGATTGTCCAAGTACACTTGGAGATATTCGATACTGAAATGATCCCGTCTTGGTAATATGAATATTTTCGGAAAGGTTTCAGATCTGGTATGGGTCCATGGTGGAAATGGTAGCCAGTCTCCTCAACACCAACAGATGGACACAACAAGAGAGTATGTGGATGCGTCAGTTTTCGGAATAGGTTCCGATATGGCCGAGAGATTGGGGCTGTTGGATTCAGTGAGGCAGAAGATTGGGTTCCACAATAGGATGGATGGGTTCGTGCGTAGAATTGATGAATGAGTGGATGATGCTCTGAAAGCCAAGTTGTGATAGCACAGTTTCGGGCCTTGAAGAAACGGCATCTGCTGCGATGCCAGCACCCAGATAGATCGCTCGTATTCCAAGCTGTGATTGAATCTCCTGATTTGAACTTCAGGTTCGCTGCTGGGGATTTGGAGAAGGCGATGAGTGCAGATCATCGGCTGTTTCCGCAGCTGCAGCCTGCAAGTTGCTCCGGAAGCTGGAGGAGACAGTTGCTGCCCACACCTCGTGGTTTTGGTAGACGTGTTGAAAGGCCAAATCCTTTTCCTGCCACGGAGACCACGGGCACCAGGCACGGTCGATCATATCTTCGTCCTGGGGATGGGGGGGAAGAGGCCTAATCTTGACCATTGACTACTTCCTTCACACAGCCTTGTGGTCTGCCTCCCAAGGTTGCCGCAACACCCAAGGAATGGGCGTAATCCTGGTTGAGTAGCGTGACCACATAGCACCAGTCCTTATTTTCGAGGATGAATTTGACCTGTACAGATGTAGGGGCTCTTCGAAATTGTCGGTGAAAGAATGCATGCTGGTAATGCTACTAATTGGCAGTCTGAACAGTATGACCATTTCCTCGAGCTTGTAATCGAGGCAGTGCCTAAGAACTAGACGTTATAAGTGCGACGCGTACGTCACATTCATCGGCACTCGGATTTGCAATTAGTTTGTAGTTTTGTTCATAATAGATTGCTTCCTGACTCCCACACGCGTACCTGCATGCGTGGGACATTTGGGAAAGTCGTTACACGTTCCTCCTTGCTTTACAAGAGGGCAATTCAAAGATGACTGAGTCGTCGCTCTCACGAAAAAGAAGCAGGATTTCACGAGTCTTTCACTCTCTGGAAAATGAAAACTCATGCAATTACCAGGTCCCATGCCAGGAACGATTTCATTATTAACTGTTGCTGACGAAACATGCTGAGTAATTTCTTGAGCTAATCGCTTGATGGGATGGAAACTGAAAATGGTTGTTGCTCGTCCAGATTTACCTCCGATTATTGCTATTTTTACGACAAAGTTTCACAGCTCTTGCGGGAGAAAACCCCGGAATCTGTGAAAGAGTTATTGAAGAAGCACCGAAGCATCATCGTTGAGGTGCCATCCTTTGGCCTGTGTGATGATTCAAAAGCCCACCAAGTCTGTTTTGCTTTGGATTTCTGTCCGCAAGCAGGAGAATTAGGAGGTCACAGATTTTCCCATGTGGCACCGTAGTAGAGGTCTTACGCCTCCTTTGAGGCATCCATGAACTTTCAGCGTTCCGTAAAGCAGACCCTGGGTCGTAAATCACGGGATTCAACCACCGTTTACCCTTGAGAACGGGGAAAAGAAGGAAGAAAAAGCTAAGTTTCTGACGGACTTTCAAGGCCTGTGAACTCGGACAGTCTTTCCAAGCGCTGTCGCACCACCTACCAGAAGTAGCTTTAACTCCCGGCAGCGACCGTGGACCTGGTTTCCTGTTCATGGTAACGCATCTGTCCGCGCAGTGCAGTGCATGATTCTCAGAAAATCAATCTCCATAATTGTCAACAAGGTTTTGCACATCGGCGACAGCGCGTTAGGGATCGAACCGAAAGGCAGCATTGAGAACGGAGTTCATTCCCTCCCTCACCATTAGATCTGTGAGGTGAATCATCATGACACCGCTTGAGAGTGCTGTTCTCGAATACAAGGTGCTGCGCGCGGGCCCTATGTTCTTTTCAAATTGATCTTACACCATGACACTACGTATTCCCATTTTCATTTTTATTTTTATTGTAGAATATTTTCTAATGTTCAATTAGGATATGTGGGCAGCTAAATTTAACTTATAGATCGGGTTTTAATTCACCTTTTTCATCTGGGAAAAGTAAGGAGATGGTAATCAAAATGTGTTGGGGGTTGCTCATAAAAAACTTAAGCCTTGTATTTCTAACTTTAGACTGCAAAGATGATTTCTACGTGACTGCGTCGATGTAGTGTGTTGTACTGGAGTGGTGGATATTTACTCATTACTCAGTTGGGTGACAAGGAATTACGCGATCATGACTGTGGCCGCCATGGATAAGATTACGAGTCAACTAACGAACCTTAAGGTGTGGGGAAAACCAGAGGCTAGTCTTGGTTTAAGGACAAAAGGGCGACAATCCAGCAGCCTCTATTCACTGCATCGGGTCAATGTCTCTTATCTTCAGAATTTGGAAAGGAAACTCAAAAGTAAGAGCCACCCAAGTACCCTGAAGTACTGTCGAAGGGGCTAAATTGATGAGCAGGAGAACCTGTTACTCCATTGCATGCGAACGCCTTGACGAGAGGAAAAGACCTGGGATGCAACTGCTTCAATACCTAACACAAGTGTTGTTGTACAACTTCTATTCAATTAGAAAAGTAGATCGAGTGCAGATGCCTGTTTCGCGGCATCAAGAGTACATGCAGTAGAACTGGTAAGTCTAGATTATTTTCGCGTCCATTGGATGTATTCTTAAGTCAATACGATTCAAGGCCTCGTCGCACACCGAAAAATTTTGAGCCTAGTTGAAACTAGGATTTGTGAGGTCCAGATTATGGGGAGTCCCTAGTCTTTCACATTTTCGGGACCAAAACCTTGGGTTCAAAATCAATACAAAGTCAGCCACCCAACGCACCAAAAAAGCAGTAGGGATTAACCTACTGAAAGCAAGGTCCAACCTCTACCTAGGGTTAGGGGTCTTACGTGAAAAGAAAGCAGTAATTTCACTGCTTTCACCTCACATAAAACCCCCCCTGAAAACTTTTGCTTATTACCAACTACGTACATAGTATTTATATAAGTAGACATAATACACTCCTACTGGTATTTCCTACTCTTTGTCGGCAGAAGGTTGATTGCCGTCGAACTCAATAACGTCAGGAGCTGATTTCTTTGGCTTCGCTGGGGGCTCCTCTACATTCTTGCTTTCCGTTCCAGAAAATTCTGGTCCAGCAAGCTCCAGAAGCTCTTGAAGAGTGTTTGGTAGAGGTCCAAGCGCCTTGGGCCAGATAGAATCATTCTTTAACATCTGAAACGACAGAAGTTGCACATAAGTAAGCAGGTCCCTAAAATTGAACATCGACTTGCCATTTGGGAAACCATTAACAAAGATTAAAAATGCATATTTGGGAAATGCAATTCTAGTGAGAAATATCTTACCTTAATCTGGAGTTCCAGACACTGCACGTAGGTGATAGCCTTCTCCAGCATGGTCACCATATCTACCTTATCACCATTAGGTATCAAGGCTTGCAAAACTTTCAGCCGCTCACTTATCCTTTCTCTTCGAACCTGTGATCACATATTAGACCCCATAAATCCCAAATATTTTCCATTTGTCTTCAGTAGAGGCACATCAAACACTAACTTTAGGAAGGCGTAGCAAGCATACGCATGAACATACGAACAAGCAGAAATTCAAAGAATTGGGTCCGTACCCTAGCGGCAATGCTCTGTGGGTCATTGGCACTCCCTTGACGAGCACGAGGCTTGAGGTTGGTGTTCAGAGCAGGCCCTAGTGCACGACCACTTGCACTCTGACTCACTTTTTGATGAGCTAAAGCACTGATGCTTTCTAGCCTGCTGCATCCTTGAGGTCCCAAAGCTTTTTGCATAGGCTTCTTATTCATCGATCCACCTTGGTCTTTCTTGTCGTCAACCTAACCCAAACATGCCAATTCAATGAACTCGCGCATTAGGAAAACTTAAGGACGACTTTCACTCTGACCACATGACGTATTAGATTCATTGCATGAAATACGGTGTGGAGAACCTGTAACATGGAAACACATTCATAACATCAATCATCGCATTCTAGCATCGATAAGTTCTTAAAAGGTCGTCCATGATGCAGTCACAGCAGAACTACATGATATGCAAGAGAAAAGGATACCAAGGTCTTACCGTAAGAGGCCGCTTAAGAACGGGATTTGAGTTCTGTACAGCTGGACCGATCTTAGCACTGCCGGGCATGTTCCTCGGAATAGGGCACTTGATAGTTCCAGTCTCAGGCTGCATCATGACAGGAGCTTTCTGATTCCCGGGTAAGCCAACGCATCCACCCAAGCCACCATCCATCCGCAAGGGCCACTTTGTGACAGACTCACCAGAATCCGGTTTAGCAGATCTGGGATTACTCATAACTGATTGTTGTCTTTGTTGCTCAAAGGGTAAGGTCGAAATGGGGGAAGCATTACATAACGCTGGTTGATTCCTTTGTTGCTCATAAGACATGTTAGAGATGGAGGAGGCATTACTCATAGGTTGGTGTTGCCTTTGCTCAAACCCTAAGTTGGAGAGGGGTGGAGAGTTGCTAACAGTTGATTGTTGCCTTTGCTCAAACCCCAGGTTGGAGAGGGGTGGAGAATTGCTGACAGATGGTTGTTGCCTTGACTCAAATCCTGAAATAGAAATCGGGGGAGAGCTACCCATGGTGGGAAGTTGTCTTTGCTCAAAGACCATGTTAGAAAGGGGAGAAGGGCTACTTAATGGCTGCTTTTGACTTGGGTCGAACTCCATGATTGGTTTAGAAGGAGAGCTACTTACGGGTTGCTTCCGTCTTTGATCAAACCCTATGATAGTGACGGAAGGAGAGCTACCCATGGGTTGTTTCAGCCTTGGATCGAATCCCAAACTGGTAACAGGAGAGGAACTGCTCATAGCTTGCTGCTGCCTCTGCTGCTCAAACCCCAAGTTAGTAACAGAGGAATTACTCATAGCCGGCTGCTGCATCTGCTGTTCGAATCCCATGTTGTTCATAGATGAGGAGTTGCTCATGGCTGCCTGCCTGCCATGCTCAAACCCCAGGTTACTAACGGGGGAGGACTTACTCATGGCTTGTTGTTGCCTTGGTTCGAACCCCATAATAGGAATAGGCGAGGAACTGATCTTTCCTTGGTTGGTCTTGTCCGCCCATATTCTGTTCGAGAGCGTATCCTGCTGTTCTGATTGCTGCTGTTTCTGCGCAGGAACGTAAGGACCAGGGTTAAAACTAACCAACTTGGGTTCCTCAGATACAGCGTCCATCTTATGCATGTGAGAAGAAGCAGCAAGTGAAGACATCATCACTGATGCACTGCCCTTCTGACTCGAATTAAAAGATCCTCCAGCAACATTTGGAACGGAGCTTCTCGATCCCACTTCAGATGTGGATACATCTCTATTGGTGCTAGGAGGAAGAGAGTGCGCATGTTGTTGTTTCGCAAGATGCATCAAACCTAAGTTTGGGTTGCACCCACCAACCAATCCAGATGTGATCATTATCCCCCGAGTTGCAGCTTGACCAAACATTTCCATCGAGTTAGAAACCATAGACGAACCCCCATACTGAGCTGTTTGGGATGGAACACTCGGAACTCCACACTGAGTTATGGAAACATCTGTGCTCGTGACGGGATTACAATTTGGAACCATCAATGGACTCCTGTATTGAGAATTCTGTACATTAGTGGTCGGGACCGCTCCGTTGTGTATTGTGGGATTTATAGTGCCAAATGATTTGTTGTTAAATCCCTGTGGGCAATCCAAGGTGGCGAAATTCTGGGGGAGATGGTTTGAAGCTAGCACAGGTGAATTGTACTGTATGAACTGGTTGTTCATGAGATCTTGCATGGGGTCTTGGGCAGAATAAGTAAACTCGGGCTGCCCCCACTGCCCATTTTGACGAAATTTGGAATTTCCACCAACTAAGTCATGTACATCTTCGGACACTCGGGGAAGGTTCATGACAGAATCGTAGGCAGGGACATCGTTAACAAGAGAGGAAGACATCAAGGTGATGTCATCTGACCGAGATGGGAGATCCCATGGTTCGGATCCCCAGGGGAACGGTGTCTCTGCATGATAAGGCAACAAACTGGCTGGGATGTCAGGACTATTGAACACCCCGACATGTTGTATAGGCTGTGTGTCACAAGCACCCCACAAGGCTCCTGTTGCCTCATCCATATTCGCACAATCTGAATCACGCTACAATATAGCGGTAGCAACCGATTTTAAAAGGCAAAAGAAACCCTGCAATGAACAGACGAAGGAGATGTCATTCATTGACACACACATCGTCAAGCATTTCACTGATGTTAAGGACACAATAGGGATACAAACGAGGCCAACTACGGATGTGACCGTTCTAAGGTTAAACGTCTCCAACTACACACTCAAAAGACCGTGAACACACCAACCGAGAGACTTCTAACCTGAAATCACGCCACAAGGAATCTTTAAGGTTGACTACTGAAGTAGACACTCCACGACCCCTCGGCACGAATAGCGCTCAGAAACGGCCAATCTATTGTCCAGCTCGCATCTTCTTAGCTCTCCTCGCGTAGTTGACAAATCCCAGTCTGCTGCGGCTCAAAATTTTGGCCATTCGCATCCCACACGCAAGACTCAAAAAGAAGACTATCACCACTAGTCGTGTAAGTCAGCTCACATTAACCCGAGCATGCGCTTAATAATACAAGGAGCACACAAGAAGATGAAGTAATTGAAGTTACTCTGAGTCCAGTTCAAAACGAAACCCCAAACAGCAAATCGCATGCATTTAGACTTCTTCAGTCTCCATTTCCAAGATTCGACCCTACTAGATCCAAGTGATCGATAATGGGTTGTGAGGCTCTGATGTCTCCGCGCGTTGAGGGGGCAAAAACAAAGGTCCAGTGAATGGAGTGCAGACCGGGAGTGAGCACGCGAAGATCATGGACGATTCTAGTTCTACCATCCAGTGCTCATGTGACAGAGCATGCCAGCACGCACTCTCACGAGTGAACTCACACCTGTTGACGCTTATTCCGCAACTCTCCACTGCAAATCCTAAGCAACTCCTACTCAAACCCTGTTTCCGGCTTTCCACCCACAGCTCAAGCCATCAAAAGAGATCACAAGGTTCCAGATCGGGCACCGTCGCGCTTCCCTAAAACCCTCTCTCTTCGTTCCCCTTGACCTAGCACCCACCAAAACCAACCTTTTCTCGCTCAAAACGTGACCTCCAGATCCGACGCAGACCAAACCCTCAAAAGGGAAGATATCCGCAACACTCACGGACACCAAACGTGAACAGCACAAGACAAGTTCATAAAAAAGCTACTGTTACTGAAGACGGAGAAGCAGTCACCCGTTCTACTTAAGATAAAGCACGCACAAGTCGCAGCAAAGTAGGTTCAGAGGCACGGGGGGTATGGGCAGAGGAAGCAAGAAGAAGCAGAAGAGAAACAAGATGAACACAGCAGGCTTAAAAAGGAAGGAGGGATGGGGGATGATAAGAATGGGGTGCGGGCAAGCAGGGATGGGCAGATGTGCATTATAGTATTATAATCCTGCTCGCCAGCGGCTCTCTTACTCACTCACTACTCTTGTTCATCTCATCTCACTTGCCGCCATGAATCTACACATTCTACGCATCCCCGCGCGGTGTACTGTAGCGTCTGCAGCATCCACAGCAGCCAGCCAGCTATCCAGTACACACAGCATAATCGAACAGTTCCTTCCAAGCCTAGGCGTCTATTCTTCTATTCTCTTGTCTTCTAGCCGTAATTCCCCTCCCGGGCTTCCGCCTCCATCGCTGTCTTCGTCTTCACCTCGTTTACCCGCTCCGCCTCCATCGTTCCCCACCCTCTTCTTCGCTTCCCCCGCCCCCCCATACATTTACTGCCATCACATCCCTGCTTGTGCTTGTCCTCCTTAAATTCTTACCGGTTCCCTGACGCATAACCTTTTAGGCTCTACCTATCTATCTATCTATCTATCTATCTATCGCTCCCCTCTGCGACCACCTCCGCCTCTCAAACAAAACCCCTGTGATCATCCGCCCCTCGGCCGCTTTTCTCCTCTGACACTACCCCTGCCTCTGCTGCTGCTGCTGCTGCTGCTACTGCTACCACGTCCCTCCCTCCGTCCATCCCTCGGCTGCGCAGTGTCAGAGCATCAGCCCCGCACGCCAAGCCATGGCCACACACTCCCCCTCCCCCCTTCCCCGCCCGGCCGCGTAACTTCCAAGGCGGCCTGCGGCCCTCACCCCGTCAACTTTACTCCATCCGTCCCCACCCAGCCCTGTCTACGTCGCTAATAATATTCAACCCCCTCCCCAGTTTTCGAGAATCCCGGTCTTGGATGGGACTCCTCCGATCCCTTTTTAAAATCATCGTTGCTCGTCACTGATGCCTACTATTTTCAATTTATTTATTTATTTCGTTCATTTTTACTTTTCCGTTTACTTTTATTTTACTTTTATGTTTATGTGTTGCTTTTGCCTTGCTGGTGTAGTTTTGAAGGGGTTTGGATCACTTTGTGTGAGTTGGTTAGTTAGGTCCTGTGGAGTACCTTCTGGAGCACCAATACAAACGAATGCGTGAATGCAGTGTGAATCCGTGTCTTTGGCAACTGGTTTTTTTATGTTACATGGGGAGATTCTGCCTTGGATTGTATGGGATGCCTTGCTTGTGCACATGTAGGACAGGCCCCCAGTTGCTGTGGTGTTTGGCAGCTTTAGAAGTAAGATATCCACGGTGGAAAAGTTAAAGTTAAAGATAAAAGAAACAGTTGAATCCCCTACCATTTACTAGCTTCCAATCATGTGAAGTACATCACTCAATTATGAAGCTGGCAACACAAAATAATATTCTATTGTGTAACTTTGAAGCGTATAGGCTTCCCATGCAGTTTTTATTATTATTGTTATTATTACTTATTATTCCCACAATTGTAATATTTAAAAATGTGGCATTTACACTTTCCATTTTGTTTCTATTGTTTTTAAGACCTATTCATGGAAAAAGATATTGGAATAGACACACAAAATGGGTGCACAAGACATGTGTTGTGCAAGCTCATCACAATTGCATCTCCAAGTGTCATTTTGTTGATTTTTTTTATTATTATATGCCTATATATTATTATTATTAAAAATATTGGGAATGTGTCGTTCATACGTAGGCTCATTGAACGTGTAAAAGTCAAAGCCTCGTTCAACACAGAAGGCTATTTTTTTCTTTTTTCTTTTTTTTTTCTTTCCTTTTCTTCCCCTTCCAATATCCCAGAGCACAGTAAATCAGGGATGAATGATATTGTTATGAGCGAATGAATGAACTAATGTATGAATGACGATTGTGTGTCCCGCATTCATTACATTTTGCATAATCGCTTCACATTCGTCCATGCCAGCATCGTTCATCCATCCAATTGTGGTTCTGTTACCACCACTTCCACTACTGTTACTTCAAGCCCCTTTATTAGTGTTATCAGTGTTTTCATTTATATTTTTATAAATAGTTTTCACCATAATTTCGTTTTATGCCTCGTCCACAATTCTGTCGGTCTGTCTGCTGGGGACTACTGTCACACCCCAGTGCCCTGCTTACTTTTACTTTATAATACTTCACCAATGTCTCTCCATGTTTCAATCTCTCACTTTCACTTTTTTGTACTTTTTTTTGAAAATTTTCCTCTTGATTTTATGTTTTTATGTTTTAGTTCATTTTGAGACCAATAAAAACTTGTACATTACATGTTAAAATTATTTGAACCATACATTAAAATATGTAAACATTTGGCTCTTGAGTGTTTTGTAAAATACTGATATTCTATACTTGAAATAAAATTCATTGTAAATGACATGATTGCATTTTGAAACAAGTTTAATTGGATGATGTATCCACTTATCATTTATTTCTAAGTTGTTTTTTTTTTTTTTATAGTAGTTGTTTTTTGAAGAAGTGCTGTAGAAACTATCCATTACATATGATGGATAAATAAGATAGCCAAGTGAGGAAGCAAAAAACTTTCAACATGAATAATTTAAAATTGAACTCAAATACAAAATAATTGATGCTGATTGTCTTATTATTTGAAATTCTATCTAGGTAATGCTTGCACTTTTGAAATACATCAAAAATATTCCACGTATATTTATATCTTGTTGTGATGAACGTCATTAGTTAATTTATTCTATCACAAAAATTTATTTAAAATTTTAAAAATATATTAGAGTTATTTTTTAATGTTCTGTTTCTGTTTCTATTTATTTATTTATTTATTTTGGTAACACTTCAGAATCCTTTCAATATTTGGTCAACAAATCTTCATGTGGAATGCTTCTGGAGTGATTTTAAAAACATTTTGCAACTAATTATAATGATAGACTTTCAAATAAAGATTATACATGCATACAATAGTTTTAAATATTTTAAAAGTAAATCATCACTACAATGTCTCTAAGTATTGGATCAGATTATATAGATGCTTGCAAAACTTAAAACTATGCTCACTTTAATAATGATCAACACAATTTTATTTTACATAAACACACATTACTGAAAAGTAAAATAAAATAAAAAAACCATTAGATTATAGGTTTTAATTTAAAATTTTCCTTGCAACCAATAAGTTCAGTTTTTTAAACTAAACAAAATTCACAATTACATTTTAGTACTGTATCGATGATGTCAAGAAACATACACATTTTATCTATTAAGCTGACACAAAATTTAAACATTGATAATATTTTTATGTTATTACAACTAATATTCTAAAGCTTGCAAAATTCTACACATAAAACCAAAAACTATTAGTGCTTAACTTGGAACTTGGAATTAGTACACAACCAAAATGTTTTGGAACCATAATTGCACAATAAAGTGCACATTTAGGAATTAAATAAAGACAACATTGTGCTTTAATTCAATTTTTATATCTCTGCAAGTACTAAGCAACATTTTTTAATACAAATACTTTTAAAGAAAAAGAAATTAGGTTCATTGCATAAGACATTAACAAAACTTAAAATCCGATATGCAAAGATAGTTGCTTATGCGAAAATAAACTCTCCTTTTGAATTAATACAAAATATGCTAAGATGAAGTTTTTTTTTTTTTTTTTTTTTTTTTTTTAAATTTATTTAATAGCTTAATCAACCAAAAGAAAAAATCATAAAAGTATATAATACTTAGTAGATATTGCATAGTTGTTAAAATTTATAACTTTCTTATCCTAAAACAATTGGTGGTTATTTTACTAAAAAAAAAATATGATAAAATTGAAACATAAATGTGTAAAATTTTAGACAAGAATATTTTTTAAGCCACAAAAAAACTATAATTAATACATATTCTATAAACATATTTAGAATATATAATTTATTTATTATTTTAGATAATTATTTTTATAAATAATTATTTAAAAAATACTATATATCTAATTTTTAATTTTTATATTTATATTAAATTTTCAAAAAATATTTGAATTAAGATTATTAATATAAAATAATATCATTATAATATTTTATAAACTTTTTGATAGAATTTCAAATGATTAAATTATTTTTTTATAATTTAAAATAATTATTTTTAATTATAAATGCTATAAATATCCTATTTTATTATTTATATTTTTATCTAATATAATTTATATAATTTCTAAAAATTTATATCATTAAAAAATAATTTATTATTTTATCTATCTTGAGGTAATTTTTACTATGAACTATTATTAATTCTCTCCTAAAAATATCTATATTACTTATTTTCTTAATCCACTTTTTTGCCTTATTTATAGACTTATAAAGTAAGTAAAAGTCTTTATTTATAAAAAAGAAATATCAACACTTCAATTTTTTACTATTTCTCTACTTTTAATACGTATTTTGTTACTATATCTTTTAATAAGGCTCTTTTATAATACAACCCATATTTTTATCTTTTACCATTTAATCACGTTATAATATAAAAATATTTAGAATTCTTCTTGCAAGTAAGAACAATAGAATAAGAGCCGCCTAATATATAAGAAATAATTGATAGTACTAATGCCATAAAAATAATATGATGAAGAATTATTAACAACAAGAACTCAATGATAAAAAATAAACAAGTGACACTTTTTAAAAAAAATATAATAAAATAGAAATAAGAAGGTACATATATTAAAAGGAAATTAGAATGGCTGTTACCAAAAGACAAGAAAACTAAAGACTTCTTGAAACTAAACTAAATGTAAGAAAATAATTGGTAAGAGTGAAGAGAGGTATATTATCTATCTAGGAGCTGTATGGTGATGTTCTATAGGATCTTCAAAACATGTTGACTTTACACAACACGTATCTTAACTTACAAGGCAAGTTTTCAATATATGTGCTACATAGTTAGCTTGTTTTGCAAGCTACTAACATAAATGGCATGTGGTTAACTTGTTGACAAAGTTTTTAATCTATCAATCAATTACAAATACACTTAAAGTCAAAGCAACATCTATGAAGCTTATAGGAAGTTTTTTTAAAAGATATTATGAAATGAATCTATTATTTATTTACTTCTACCTATTCATATTATGTTGATAACAATTACAATAAATATATGTTCATGATATTATTCCCTCTTCTAAAGATGAGTTCTACAAGAAACAATGATCACATATTGAAGAAGTCTAAGATGTAGTGAATTGTATTTGTCATATATTCTGATCTTTGTCCCATTCAAAGATAGTTGATAAATCTTCTTAGCCATTGGTAATGTTCTATTCTAGGATAGGAAGACCACCTTGTTAGTTGATCATTATTAAGATCTTTGTAACTTCCTTCAAACAAAACATTTGTAATACCATCAAGAGTCATTTCTA